AACGCGGTTCCTATAAAGTCATCTCATACCATCCCAGAGATAAAATTTAATGTCTCTGGCGTGTTTAGTGCTTGATTTATCGCGCTTTTAGTAGTTTTTAACAGTACCGTTATATGGGGAGTGGGCGGAGTTGCCACCCGATTTCAACTATTTTCACACCGTCCATAGAAGTACTAAAAACATTTGCCCAGTGAATTTTGTTATTATAGCATTAGCGGTTTAGAAGATATGCTCATTAAACCTTTTAGAGGCGGGTCCACGCCCACTTTTTAAAAAAAATCCTAACTGCAGATGCCCCTTCCTAATGGAATTCTGTGTACCAAATAACAGTCTTGTATCTTATTGCGGAGCTTAGTTATGGCAATTTATTTGTTTTTGATTAATGGCGTTTTGTGGGCGTGGCAGTGGTCCGATTACGCCCATCTGCAAAACCACCCGTCTCACGGCACCAAGAAACATGTCTACCAAGTTTCATAAAGATATCTCAATTTTTACTCAAGTTACAGCTTGCACGGACGGACAGACCGACGGACGGACAGACAGTCACTCGGATTTCAACTCGTCTCTTCATCCTGATCATTTATATATATACCTATAACCCTATATGTAACTCGATTAGTTTTAGGTGATACAAACAGCCGTTAGGTGAACAAAACTATTATACTCTGTAGCACGGACGGACAGACGGACGGACGGACAGACAGTCACCCGGATTTCAACTCATCTCTTCATCCTGATCATTTATATATATACCTATAACCCTATATCTCGCTCGATTAGTTTTAGGTGATACAAACAACCGTTAGGTGAACAAAACGATTATACTCTGTAGCAACAGGTTGCGAGAGTATAAAAAGGAAAATGTAGATTACATATCAATATACACACGTAATTTATTTATAGTATTTTTTAAATACTTGTTTACGCTTTCATTAAGTTAAAGTTGTTGATTGATTATCAAGAAATAATGTGCTTTGATAAAGATACGACTCTGATAATACTTGTAGGACTATCTTTACAGGTACTTATTTTATATACTGTTTTGAATCAGTAAAATAAAACTCTATATGTTTATATTTTTTTCGATCAATTGCACACTATATAGGATTTTAATTAATAGTCTATGTGGTAAAGGCCCAATAGCAAAATACACCGTTGCAAAATGTGACAGATCAGAAAGGGTTTGACAGTTAATTCTTTGCTGACGAATTTTGTGTAGAGAAAATTGGACAAACAGTTGGTATCATATTTTATACTTCTCATAGAATTTCTATTAGGAAGCCAATTAAAGATCATGCGAAAGTGTTTTAAAGAATCTACTTTATGAAAACTGCAAGCATTTGGGTGACATAAAGTCATCAGTAAACTTTGTGGATTCGTGGAAAATTTGCCTCATACAATATATCGAAAACGTAAACGAAATTTAAGCTTAAAGTCATCTTAAAAGCATTAGAAGCAAAAAAAAACACTTTTAATTCTTTGTTGCAAACATAGCTTTTGATAGACCTCTACCTTATTTGAAAGATTTGATTAATTATGACATTTATCTTTTTTCGAAACTCAAAAATTGGTGGCGGTAAACACTTCCCTCCGCTAGTGATTTGAGGCCACAAAACAACAGCTAAAGCAGTACATAAAGTCACTCCGACAGCGTCCAATTCCAGACGGATAATACCACTTCAACTAAATTAGACAAACACCATATGTTTAATAGCACATTAGATAATCTTAGCGAGAAAATGTAATTTAAAGAAAAACAGTGTCTTCAGACTTTGAAAGAGTAGCATAAGGTTTCTCAGTTCAGATTTCTGGCGTTAAAATATAGTTCGCAGAATTCATGTTTTCCTAGTAAGCCTTATGAAACAGAAACGAGAGTACCTTTAGCCTAAAAATTCCTACTGGGTGCATGTAAGACCAAAGATTATTCCATGATCTTTCATTATTAGCAATTTATTTCTGAATGGAATCACAAGCGTAAATCATAGCTGTGCTTAAGAGCAAAATAGTGATTAGCACTAGAGCTCTTACGATTGCTAAACATAAATACATATATGGACATAGATTGAGCACAACATATGCCATCACATTTATTAGGGAATTGTCAAACTGCGTATGTCAAACAGAAATTTACATTTAACCCCACCACCGCCGCCTCGTCAGTAGTAAGTTTCATGAACATATGTATGTACTTATATGTACATACATACATATGTATATATCTTCATAGGTACTATTTAAATGCAAATACGATTGTAGCAACGCAAATCGGGCAAACGGTCGACGCTGGCGCTGGAAGACCGGAAATAAACGACGTGACTTTTAGTAAAAGCAAATGGTACAAACAAAAAATCGGGAAATACAATATATGTACATATACTTGCAAATGAATGTACATAAAATAATTATGAATGTATGGAAAACTTTAGAACTGAAAAAGGGTATTATAAGCAACAATAATAGCAAAAGTGATTAGTGGCATTATGAATAAATAAAAAATTAAGAAATCGGAAATGTGCAGTGATACGAGAGCTTTATTAAAATGCTTTACTTAACAAAAGTCTAAAAATAGTCAAACTTTATTCGATTTTGAGTGCAAAGAATTTATAAGTATATTTGGCCGAGCTATGCCCCCATTTGTAGCGTATGTCTTGATGTTGTGCGAAGAATGAAGGGAACTACAAGTTTTTAGCAAGCCACCTAATAATTAAGGATTTTATCAGAAGCTTTTTCGTGGCAAAAAAACCTTGACATTGAAAATACAAATTGCTGAAAAGTATAATATATGCCCTATAGTTCATTGTGCGGTCACATAAGCCAGCAAGAACTCGACTTTGTGGCCTTGCTTAGTTTGGATCTCTCCGAGGAATATTTGGTCACCTCTTTATGGTATTTTTGAATCCAATTTTGTTTAGTATTAAATGCAATGAAACTGTTGGCATTTATCTCTGGTATAGACTATTAACTTTTTAAAATTAACACTATGCGACTTTTGCTGAGTGATTTTAAATTCAATAAGCGCAATTTGGAAATATTTATTTTTTGAAATTCAGACATAAATTTCGTACAGCTTTCCGAATAAGATTGTTTGTACGTATCTACGCCACACTCCATTTAAAATCTGCAATATTTAATTTACATAGTTTTCTGCAAACACTCACAAATATATTAATGTGAATAAGGCATGCATGCCCTGTAGGAAAAAATTTAGGTAAAAAGGAAAATTGTTTTCTTTTTTTTAATTTTTCAAAGGCTTCTGCACTAGTCTAATAACTGATTTTATTCGAAAGGAACTTTACGGAATCTACGTCAGGTCGTACTTATCATCCCTATAGGGTATGTATGAATGAAGGAATGCGCTACGTATAAGGGTATTCGGTCAAAGTTGGATACATATTTATATGTACACATGTGTCGTTTTGAATGATTTTTTTTGCTACGTTGATGACGTTAATGATGAAAAGACGTATATTTGTTTTCCTTTTTTAATGTTTTTAAGTTTGTCATGTTAGCCATTGTTGCTGATTCCATGCATATACTCATAGCATGTATTTACTCTACTGTTGTGCGTACTTTGCTATGTATGTAGAAGTGTAATATATGTATGTATTTATATATATTGCGATTTTCGTCATTTGATATATTTTGTATATGTAGTATGTTTTTCTGTTAAATAGCGCCAATGTTATTGCTTATCTTATCATACAAATTCGTTCACTTCTCACAAGAAAAAAGCAGCAACAATAAAAATTACACATTTTCGTTTTTAATTGCAAACTTTTTACGACCGCTACATAGCAATCCGCTTAGATGTGCACACTATATTTTTAGCTGATGGCCATACTGATTTTAAAAATACATTTTTATATATTTTTTTCTAAAAATTAAGATTTTTTTAAGTCGAACTCAGATATTGCAGTAAAATTTGTGTGGATCGCCATCATAGTATAGGCTGAATCCAATATGGGTATCAAACTAAACATTACAACAAACATTCGAAATATTTTATTAAAACAAATTGATAAAAATGAATTTAATATTTAAATTATATAAGTATATTCCTTTAATTAATGTTTCTGTATTTTAAATAAGTAACACAAAAAAAAATTTACGATTTTAAATTAAAAATTGTTTTGCTATAAAGTTGGAATTGCATTGTAAAAAGTTGGTAACACCACTAAAGTAATGGTGTTAGATTGTATCGTATTTAATTAGGGCTTTTGTAGGGTAGAAATTTAAAAAAATGGAAAAAAAATTTTAAATTTTCCGTGCAGCTTTTTCTTTATGGTTCTATGTACACCTATGGATATATTATATATATTTGCCTAAAATCGAAAATCTTTTAGCATCAATGTACCCACCAAACACACTTAATTAGGTTTGTGTGCTAAATAAACGTGAATAAAATTCCACGAATGTACATTTTATTTATGGTGGCAGCCCCTAGTGGTTGGAAGCCACACAATCGCTTCGCAAAAGAATGACAAAAAGAAACTTTTGCGTTCTAAACGATTTCTAAGAAATTTCTTATCGCTGTACGTAAAGGAATAATAAGAAAAATACATAAATGCATAAAAGAAAAAACGATATATAAGAAATCTCTGCAAAACAACTTACAACAATAATAAAATTATGGCGCAATTTCTCATACACACACACACACTTATAAATACAAAATTGCAAAGCAATAAGCAAACATTAGCCGATATGGGAGCAGGAGAGTCTACTTGTATCCATATATATATTAGTGATATAGTCGTATCAGATATATGCGAGAAATTGTGCTAGCTAAAGCACTCAGACGCATAAATAAAATATTAAACAGATAAATTGGAAAAACATTGTATTTTTTATTTATAAAATAGACGACTAATTTCTAACAGCGTTCCAATGAAAGTTAACAATCAGTAGAACTTCTCATATTTAAATATATATCATTTGATGAGTTTCTTAAAACGTATTATTCGTACATGAAAATCTCAATACAATTTATTTTCACTCACCGATTGACGCTTCATGATCGGACATATCCGATAAACTGCACATTGGCGGTGGTATGTCTTTGGTGCCATCATCCGGCTCTTCTTTAATGCGGATATTTGTCTGAAAAAAAAAAATTTATTTATATATTTATAATAAAACCAAGTTGCTGTAATAAATAAAACTAAGATTTTCTTTTTGAAAACTAGCATTTTGTACAACAAAAAAGGTAACAAAATTACAAATAAATATACTTTGTATATATCAGAAATATTTAAAACCCTCTAATCCACGAATCTTATACTAAAAAACATTTTTAGAATTGTTTTCTATTCGCTGAAAGCAAGAACAAAGTTGATTTCGATTATTACAGCCTAATCGTTTGAGACCAAAGTCTTGTTCGATTCGCCACTCTCTGAGTATTAACCGATGTAAGACGTATTTACATATATCTGACAAACAAGGAATCAAATTATAAGAATTTTTTTTGTTAAATCTAAATATCTGGCTGGTGTTTGTTATTTGTTCAGGAAAAGCCAGTCTATGATTTTCAAAACCGTTAAAATTTTTAAATTTAAATTACATCTTGCGAAAAATTCATGACATACAAACATACGCAAATTATCATCTTCTCACTTATGTTGTACAATTTCCTGGAATCAACGTTTCCCATGCAGACTCTCTAGAGCGTGAGAGAGAAATTGATTTATTTTTTTTTTGCTTCCAGAATAAATTGTCAAAGCTAGGGCTTTTTGGACTGCCTTATATTTAAACTATGAGCGTGGCACTGAATATTTTATGCGAAATTTGACAAAATACTTGACCCACCTGCTAACCTTATGTCTCCTTTCAACATGCTTTAAAAAGGTATAAAATTAAACCACAAACACGTCAACATATTTATTATATGATCCCTATATTTTGCTATCATATCAGCAAGGAAAAAGGTGAACCCAACGTGCTATGTTGGCAAAATTACAATTATAGGAAAATATATGCAACTAGGCGAATATTTCCAACTAGGCATCATGTAACGAGTATGGTGATCGTCGTATTGACTTTGAAATAAATGACTCGGTTAATAGAAAGACGTATTTCAACACTCTCTAAATTTTAGCGAAACAGCTACATATGTATATCAAAGCAATTTTAATTTTCATTTGTAGACTTTTAGATAAGCGTTTATTGTTTAAATGATGGTGAATTTTTTTAGTTAGAAAAATATAACATCCCAAATTATAATAACTATTTAAAAAATAAAAACAAATATTAAAAACAACAATATACATACGCACAAATATTTATAATTACAAATAAACAAATAAAATACACATAGGCAAATGCACACAACGGTAGTCAATGCCACTGCTGCGGCCATTAAAACGTCGATTAAGTGCAATTAAAACGAGAGCTAACCACTACGTGACCACACATTTTATTACCACGCCACAAATCTGACAGCCCCCGGCATGGCAATAAAGAACAAGCAAGCAATTACAGCATTACAAATGCACTTATATACATACATACACATGGCTTTGTTTATGTGTCTGTGGAAATTGCTGTGCACCCTAGTGATGATACTAGGCATATAGGCTAATCTCAATGATGAATTAAATTGTCGTTCTGTCTATTTATAAACAAGACACTTTTACCCAATTTATTATATTGCATTATAAACAACATTTATGAAAGATGCGTTATACGCACACACTCACACACATAAATACTCATACTACAAGTATAGCTGTGGAGTATGCTTTTGGGCGAGTATTTAGCGACTTTGGCTTGGCCTACCCGGGTTCCTCACTGCACACTTGACTCTTTGGCAACAAACATATGTACTCGCACGTATGCGACCACCAACCGCCTCGTTAACTGAAACATGCGTGTACATATATTTTGTGTGAATGCAATGGTGACACTGTGACTCTAGAAACTTGGAACCCAATAAACATTTTTACTAGATCCAGATTATATTGTATTGGCTGGTAATTCGAGTTAGTGTTTATGGAGTTATACCATATATATTATATGTATGTATAAAAGCATCATAATCATAATTGATCGTAGTCGCTTTTATTTTCCGTTTTTTTATAATTGTGCGTGACAGTTCCTACTGTCTGTGGAAAGGAGAAGCATACGATTCTATGGCTTGCCCATATACTACTTGACTCCGAACACTAAATCTAATTGTGCATTTGACTCGAACTGCTTCTACGCACAGTATGCTGACAAAGTATTCATCATCACACAAAGGCACAAGAAGAGATATTCGTATTTCACTGAAATATTATAAATTTTACGATTTTTCAGGCACTCGAGCATATAGTTAAATGGTTTTAATGGTTAATCTCAACTTTTGTGAACTCGATATATTAGAATAATCACTTAAACCAAGCGCATGGGTTCAAATAATTATCACGAGCCCTACCTCCCAATATTCCGATTCAACAACATAATGATACCAGATCAAATATAAGTAGTATTTGCCAGGAGAAAAAAGATTTAAAAAAATATTCAATTGGTTTTAAATGAAAAAAATCGTGAATCGATCTAAAACAAAATGTCCATGAATACTAAAGTATAAAAAACGACTCATAGTCGAACTTTCCATCACCTTGTACACATAAGTGAACATTAGTCCATTACAATAATCAGTATCCAAAGAATTATTAAAATAGTGGATTTATCGCGACGCACATACTCGTACATCAACAAAGATCACGTGACAGATATTTTGTCTAAATATTTGAGATGCTGAATCATAGCAATACTATTTATGGAAATGTTATCAAATACTTAATACAACTTTATCCCACTATTTCGAATTACATATTTGGCAAATGTTATAACCTTATCTTTGCAGTAATCTTTGATGCAACAGAGAAACATATATTATATACAAGTATTTTTGAGTGAACTTATCGACGAACTTCTTATATACAACATTTATATTAGTGAAGGTGAAATTTCCAAGGTCAATTTTAAATTTTAAGAATAGATTTTTTTTAAATAAATAAACGAAGTGCGCTTTTCCAGCGCGAAAGCAAAAAAATTTAATTCTTTCACATTAATCGAAAAGTAATAACTAAATACTATGTGCTTTTATTACAATTTCTACTTCAATATTAACTGACACCACTATACTGTGTCATCATGTGGACAGCGACAAAGCCATGAAGTCCGCCAATGTTTTTTTGTTTGTGTAATAATGTACTCGTACAATTTTTAATACGAATATGATAGCGAAGGTCACAATGTCAAGTGAATATTTTACAAATACTACAATCAAATTTATAACCTGTTTGAAAACAACAAATAATTTTCTAATGAAATGCTTAAAATAAAATTAAGACTATTTGAGTTGGGTTTTGGGGAGAAGAAAAGTGCCTTAAATTAAAAATTTTTCTATTTAAAGAGAAAAGTCGATGAACATAATTTTTTGTGGTTATAATAGTTTTTGTTTATTTTTATAAATATGCTCTGCATAAATATATTAAGTTTTTGAAGAAGCAGTTGAGAGATGTATATATGCGTCTTTCTAATTATTTCAACGGGGACTTCAAAACTTAATTTCTTAATTTCTTTATGAAGTATTTTTTGATTGCACCGTTGTGACTTAAAAGTTCTAAAAAGTTCTGACAAGAATTTTTATTTTCATTATAGGACAAAAACTGAAACATCAAGGGACGTTTGCAAAAGATCCATCAACTAGATAAATAACGGACACCCTAATGTACATATATATGTTTATCGTACTTTATCCTTGCATTCTATAACCAGTGATCATAAATCTCATGCCTAAAACTGAGAAGGATGAAAAGTATCTACTGAGGAAAGCGTTTCTGATTCTGAAACAACGAAGACATTTTGAAATAACAAAATAGGTGATGTAGTGTTATATCTATCTAAGGCTTTCTAACTAACTGTGCTTCTATATACCTGAAAAAAAAGAGATCTGTATAGTACATGCAGTTTGGGTGAAAAATATAAATTACTTGTAGGTTCGCCTCTAAATTCTAAGTCAATGTTTATTGTGAATCAATTCTAATGATTTCAAAAAGTAATAGTTTGGTTAGATAAGTGAAAAAGCTATATATGATAAGCTGAACCGATCTACATATATACCCGTAAATATGTCACATAAAATATGTATTTCATATAAAAAAGTCCATTTCAACCAAAAAAGTTTCGGAAGTGGCACAAAACCATAAAACAATTTTGGTGCTTCACGGTAATATCATTTACAACCAAATGTCCTGATCTGGCTGCATATGCAGTATGTGTGCGGAGATAATTTTTTGGGTAATCTGATATGCGATCGTAACCAGCCACGAAGAGCATTAAGTACAGTACACTACGGGTTATGAAGTTAGTACATGCATACATATATACATACGCTTATGAGCTGTATATGTATTAAAAATTTTGAGTTTTTATGTTGCTTTCCGATTGCATACAGCTGTCTGTCTGCGCCATTTTACCTTTTGCACTTAACGCTATTAAATTTCATTCATTTTCCACGACACTGCGCAGGCGCACAGGTTCACTGTCCTGCACTGCCATACGATTTTCGGCTTCCAATGTAAAATTCATAATAATAAAAAAATGATACATGCATGATCTATGTATTGGATATGAATATTGGATTACAAAGTGGCGTATGGCACGTCTGAAGATCAACGAACGTTTCCAAGAGAAAAGGATACAATAACCACACACACGCACACGTTTACACAAGTTTTTATGGGTTAGTGTGGGTCAGGGTGTGTCAAACGATCAAACGATCTAAGCAGAGTGCATAAGGAAGCGAAATACAACAAATTATTAAGTACTCACCTATGTTCCTACATACATATATGCGTGTGTGTGTGTGCATATTATGCATGTAAAAAGTGCACGTTAAAATGACCGGATGAGGTGCGTGGTTTGCAGTTTAGATTACATCAAAGTTGTCAGCCACAACTGGACAACCGTCCGGCACAATGAACTAACTGATCGATTGTCTCGAATGACTACCGACATGTCTCGCGATCAGAGTAGTTCAGTAGGTAGGTGCGGACGACGTTGACTTGACTTTTCCTTATTTTTTATGTTTTTGCTTTTAGCGAGGAACTTCA